TTTGAGATACTTTGAGATACAATTTGAGTAATTTCATTCGGTTAATCATAATATTTGCAAACATGTTCAATAATTTATAGTTTCTACACGAAGAATTTTACCAAGATTTATGCTTATCTATATTTGCTCGATTAGCTTTAGGCTGTTTGAACAAAATCTCGAAAGTCCTATTTCTAAAGATTATACAAACATTTAGAGCACACGTCCTTGAGAAATTATACTTCATTCGATGAAATAAAATAGTAATCTTCATCTAAAATAGTAATATCAATGATTTGATACAGAAATTTTATAAAATTGATCGTGAAATTTATCTAATAATATTCTTCGAAAGAACTATTTATATATATATATATATATATATATATATATATACATCATTAATTAAACTCTAATGTTTATAATCTAAATTCTTTTAAATAATTTCGATTCCAAATTTACACATTATAATTATAAAAAAAATATACCATATTTATTTACCTAATATCTATATATTAATAATCTAATATCAATAAATCTATTGATATTTGTCCTTGATTATGCTCAATTCTTAATATTTCGAATAATCGAAATAACTACCATGAAACGAACGAATCAAAATTCTTTTTCTAAAATTTATTTATCATCACTCCAAAATTTTTATGAATATTTTTCATATGTTTAATCGTACAATCGAAAGTTGATTAAGAAACGAATACTCGATCGGTGTGCCACGCGATCGACGGAAATTTTAACGAGCGATCCACGCGGGAACAGTGTGCGCAACAAGATCACGGTGATAAGCGTGTTTTTCTACGTGGCGCGCGACGGACACTTCGCGCGAGCCGAATTCCCTCGAGAAATAAAAATGGTATCGAGAACGCGACAAACTGACATATAAATATCACTTTCTAGCGCAGCAACTATGAAATGCGTGATTAAAAGTAATAAAAGTACAACCATAAACTTGCTGCCGCTACGAATCTACGATTGTCGCGTTTTTTTCCCTTAATTTATAAGCTGTTAATGATAAAATTAATCGCCACACGCGTGAATCTATGAAAATTGAAATTAAATTTCAATTGTGATAAGAAAAACGAATAGATAGAAAAAAAAAATAGAAAAAGTATTAATCGAATAAAGAGAATAAAGAGAATTGATAAAATTGAATGACGATAGAATTCAAATTTAAAATATAACGAAACATATGGTCCGAAATGAACGGAAAAAAAAATATGTAAGCAAGGTCTTGTTTACTGTAAAAGTAGCATGACATTTGAACAAGGTTTTCAGGTTAACATTGAATATAATCATAAGAAAAAGAAGCGTTACTGATTCGCTTTGTGACCTCTCTTAATTGACTCACGTCGTATTACTATCCATTTTTATTAAACGACGAAATATTTCGCAGAATGCGACAATCGTGCACGTACTGATTGTCGCGTACTGTTTGACAGGTCGGGTTGACAGATTTCATCGGATGTCGCGAAATCGGCGGGAA